CTGGTCTCGATTCCCTGTCCTCTACGACGAGAGCTTGGACCAAGGTAGAAGGTCCATATTTGGGGAATCAGACCATGGAGATGTCTTTGAAGCTAGAGGAGGAAGGGAACGTGGGTTGGCGCTTGAAAGATGGGCGGGTCTCCGACCGGTAGTTAAAGACGAACGCGTGGAGCAGAGTTGTGCAACTTCTGTTTGGGAAAACACGCCCCTGAAACGCGAGATCTCGACCCTAGTCCCAGCTGGACTCCCGCTCCCCTTCCTCCCGGCCCCGTCCCCACGGTCACACAGCACCTCCGAGAGCTGGTCCTCACGCACCCTGCGGGGGGCCGGTCGGTGCGCAAGCATTCGGTGTGGGGCACCAATGGGGTTCCCACCGATGGAGGAAACCTTTCCCGAGAAGCTGGGCTGGCCCGAGGGCTTGTGACCCCCTCACGGCTTGTGAATAACCTTACGCTGGGTGCCTCCCACCCCGGCTGGACAAATCTGGAGAGAGCGCATGGGGCCCGGAGTGTGGGAGGCAGCCTGCATTTCAGGTATGGAGGGGGAGAAGCTGGCAGAATGAGGGATAGGGCTAGAAGTGGCCCCACTGACTGGCCGTGCGGGATGGGGAATGAGGGCGTGGAAAGCCAGGAGTGGGATTTGGCTCGATCCCTTGCTAAGACTCGGTGGCTGCCCGCGTGCAGGACTGGATGAAAACTGATGCCTACAGAGTCTCAACCCGCACACCTGCTCAGCCCGCATTCCCGCTAGTGCTGCAAGGCTTGGGAAACGCTAATCGACTTGGGGGACAAAGAGGGGTGGGCCTGTCTTAAATCCAGTGTCAGCTAACGCCTCATCCCACGGCTTACCTAGCTCAAACCCGCCCTGGCCAGGTGGTCTCTCCTGGGCCTGACAGCCCAAAAGTTGGGTGTGGGGTGGCACCTTCAAGCGTATTGTCTTGCTGTTGATCCCCGTGCAGATGAGGCTCTACAGTTCGCTGGCCGACAGCCTGCATGTCTGCCTCCAGGGCAGTGCCAGGGCCCAGCCCGCAGACGTTTGTATTTGAGCAGGCTGTGATAAAGCCCACCTCGATGTCACCTCCCTTCCAAGGCCTGATGAAGTGATTAGGCTCCACCCTGGATTCCAGTAGCTTTCTCTGCCTCCCTCCCCAGCAACTGTTCTTCAGGACTTGGGGCTCAGAGCACTTTCTGCAAGCCCTCTCCTGGCACCTTGGGTTTTGCCATACTTAATCTGCACAACTGCTTCAGGAAGTATGGATTGTTTTTATCCCCAGACAATAGAACAATAGGAGTTGTCGGGGCAGCTCCACAGGAACTTGCCCTGTGCATCCTGGCTGCTCCCCAACCCTTTCCCCTCTCTTCTTTCCCCCTCCTTCCCTGGGGAGGTGGTCAGGACCAAGCAGAGACACTGCAGGCCTGAACCCTGTTGGGCCATGCCCAGCTTTCTGGACCTGACCAGGGGGCTAACAAAGTGAAAGCAGGAGGGTCTACCACCGTCAGACAGCTTAGAGGCAGGACAGTCTCTGGTAAGGACATGGACCCTCTTTGGACCCCCTTCTGAGCAAACAAACTATAAAACATTTTTTGAGATGCGTGTGTCCACTGGAGCATGAGCCAGAGGGACCTGGGGAGACCCGGATCAGTCAGATCCCTCTGATCCCTCAGGGAGGGGAGCCACTTGCGCTGGGTCTTCAGGGGGGGCCGGGAGATAGCTGTGTGGACCCAGGGTTTCTCCCGTCTGGGGGCCTTCTGGAACTGAAGCTCAGGCAGAAGCAGAAACAGTGAGACTAGAAGATGTGTTCAGACCAAAGAAGACATCTGCACCCCTTTTAAAGTGTTCTCTGTGCATGTCGGACAGACCAGGAGCCAGGCCTTAGAGCATCTCCACTTACAGATGGGGACACCAGGCTCTGAGTGGTGTGAGGAAGTGTGCCCAGGGATCTAGCTCAGGGTAAACCCCTCTGCCCCTCTTAGGGCTCCACATTCTTGACCTTCATCCCAAGGCCGCAGAGTGAACGCCTACCGCAGGAGGGAGCCCAGGACGGAGCCCAGGAGGTCTCAGGAAGGGGCTTGGGAGCTGGCTGGGGCTCACACCCAAGGACAGGCTCACTGCTGATAGCTGTTATCAGTTTTACCCAGGGGTGGCCTCTGGGGAAGATTCTTTTGGAAAAAAACTGGTTCAAATACAGACTCTGCCCCCTTCTCTTGGGCTACTTGCTTTGTGTATTTTTTTGTGTAAACCTCCAGCCTGGGTGTGGTAGCAGAAAACTCAGATGACTCCTCAGAGCAGACAAGGGATCTAAACAGGACAGTGGCTGGGTGCCAGATGATGTCTGGCTTGGCTTTATTATAATGAACGTTTTAACTATTACTTTTTAATTTGAAAAAATAATAATTTATAAGTAAATAAAAAAACACTGCTGCACCCTCCCAGGCCACAGGAGAGGTGGGAAATTTGAGCCCCCTCTAAAAGCAGATGGCACCAGAGGACCAGCCTGGGAGTAGAGGACCAAGCTTGGGGCTGCCGGCAGCACCCTGGCTGGCACGAGGAAATCCAAGCTTTTCATCTTGTCCTTGAGTTCCTATATGGCCTGGGCTTCTTTGGGCCTCAGTTTCCCCAAGTGGTCTGTAAGGTATGGGGACGAGTGTGGAGGTTCCTGAAGGTGTGCACACTCTGACCTGGCAGGAGCCTGTTCTGCAGGTCTCTGGCTGTGTTCCAGGAGGTTTGCACTGTGACAGAGACCCAGGTCCTGGCATTCAGCTCAGCAGCAGCCTCCCCTCCCCCAGGGGAGGGTGGGAGGAGAGTCTGGGAACAGCCCCCCCACGTACACCTGTTCCTCCCTGAAGCTAAGTCAACTGCAAAGCAACCCCACCCAGACCCTGCAGGCAGCCAGGCTTTGGGGACCCTGCTAGTCATGTAGAGGCTGACCCCTGAGGGTCTGGTCTCCCAATCTGTGACCACCTGCAGCTAAGCCTAGATTCTGTCAGGAACAGGAGCCCAGGCCCAGGCCCCAGCCACCATATGCTTTGCTAACAAGGGTTTTCCGCTGCCCCTACCAGCTTAGGAAGGACCCTGTGGAAAGACCAGCCCCTCCTGAGGGCCCCTTCCTTCCTGTCCCTGGGGAGCAATGGACGGGAGACATACAGCTGGGCAGGGGACAGCGCCTGGAGAACAGCAGGGGATTCTGGCCGAGGGAAGAGGCTGGGCTAGGCCCTGCGTGAGCCAGAGGGCAGGACTGCTCTAGGCTGCATCTCAACAAGGCCAGGATCCTGGGGTCTGCAGCCCCTTGCCCCCAACCTCTTACCCAGCTAGGCGGTTCCTAGTGGCCCGGAGGGTGTTCCTCCTTCCTCTCCCCCAGGCTGGGGGAGGCCCCTCAGGCCACAGGTAGCATCCTTCCCCTTTCCAGCAGCCCTACCTCTGCCAGCCTGCCATGAAGCCCCCTCAGGCCCCACCCACCATCCAGGGATGTCCCTGCCCCCCCTGGGATCCTTTCTACCTAAGCCACCTCTTAGGGTGACAGCAGTGAGTGCCACCTTGGGAGTGGCGTCTCCAGGGGGCTCCCGAGAGCCCAGCGTTGCAGACTGGCGGATCTGGGTCCAGAAGCTGCACCCTGTGATCCCTCTGTGGAACCTTCTTGGTGAACAGCCATCTTCAAGGACCCCACAACCATGGTGTGTGTTGCTCTCCCGCCCAGCACCCAGCCAGTTCTGGGTGCCCAGGTCCTGCACGTGTCATCCGCCCTATTCCAACTTCTGTTCCGTGGCCCAAGGGTTCCAAGCCATCAGCTCTTAGCGACAAACACACCTGCCTTTGGGGCCTGGCTGGGGGCAGGGTGGTCCGGGAACGCTTGTGCTCCCTCTTGGCAGGTTCCTGGTCTTCCTGCGCTACCAGTGTTACTACGGGAACCCGCTGCTCACCTTCCTGGAGTACCCCATTCTCATCGCTCAAGGTAAGGCCCTGGCCCCGCGCCGGCCGCCTCCGAGCCCCTCCCCCCCTCACGCAGAGCCTTTCCTTTCAGATGTCGCTCTCCTGCTCTGTGTCTTTCATTTTAACGGAAACATGAAGCAGGCCGCGCCCTACATGGCTGTGTATCCTTTCAGCATCTGAGTGAGAAGGTTGGAGGGGGTGTGGCTCAGGGATGCAGCTCTTGCCTCGCAGTGTGAGGCCCTGGGGTCCGTCCCCAGCTCCCCATTGGGGAAGAAAGAAAGAAAGAGAGAGGAGAGAGAGAAAGAAAGAGAGAAAGAAATGGGGTCTGGGGTACTGGCTAACAGCAATGCATTTTGAAGCAGGTCAGGTACCAGCTGTATGGTTTTGGATTAAACTGAAATGTCTGTGTCCTCGGACCCTTGCACAGGCCCTGCCCGTGGCCTCCCCGGGACAGGGCGCCTGGGTGTGCTGTGCATCACCTGGTGGGTAGGCTCAGCGCCTCCCTACTGACGATAGAGTCAGCCCTGCCAAGAGCAGCATCTCCTATCTTATTTGTTTATCCGGGACTTTTCTTCCTTGCCCGAAACATCCTGCCAGATTATTAAGTAATGGCCATGAGAGCACCTGGCATCCAGCTCCCTGCCCCTGACACACCCCGTTGACCTCCTGGCCTGTGGGCCGCAGGGTGTGGGCCTGCGATGGCTGACTCACGGTGCCAGTCACTCTGGGTCAAGGCAGGGCATGTCACGGTGGGAGCCTGGCTGCTCTCACCTGAGTGAGGGCCAGGCCTGGGTTCAGCCGTTTGTGAGGACTGGCTGTCACTCTTGTTCAACTCCACACCCCTGGAAGGGCTGGGGGAGCCTTCACTGGAGGGGCCAGCTCACAATCCTCTGCACCCTTTTCCTGCAGGGCTCCACGCCCTTTTCACGGGAGGAAGGTGGTGCTTCAGTGAGTCCCAACCCTCTGCTGTCTCCCCCTGTTCTCTGGCTCTGTTTCCTGCAGCACAGGGCCCCCAGAGCTGTGCCGCTTGTACTCTCAGGTTAGACCAGGTGGGCTGAGGGTTTTGAAAATAGTACTTGGAAGATGAAAAGCATCACGTGATTTGCTTTTTAAACAAAAGAGAGCAGCTTATCGATATGCAAACGCTGAGACCGCAGATGACAACACTTGGATGTTGACAGTAAACTATTCACGTAACTGGGCACTGGAGTCTGGAATATCTGCAGATGTTTTTACCCTTCTGACAGTGGAGACCTACAGAAAGCAAATAAGGAGGTCACCATAGTCATAATAAACATATATATTTAGCACAAGTATATATCCCCAATATGGCATGGGACATACTTTAATCCAAAAAATTTTTGGTTAATCTGAAATTCAGAATTTGACTCGGCATCTTGTATTTCTCTTTTTCTTTTTTTTTTTTTTTTTTTTAGTTATTGATAGAAATTTATTTGTATTTACATGCGGCGCTGAGAATCGAACCCAGTGCCTCACACATGCTAGGCAAGGGCTCTACCACTGAGCTCAACCCCAGCCCCATCCCATGTTTTTCTCCGGGGAATCTGGCAACGCTGCAAATGAGTCATCTGTGGAATTTCAGTGGCTTCTATTACTGGTCAGATTTTATAAAGTGCTGCATGCATATTGAGAATAAATAGAGTGAAGTGGGCTGGCACAGAATCGAGGGGAGAAAAAGTAACAAGAAGAAGTCGAAGGAATGAGTTAGCGAGTGCTGTGGAAGTGGGTTGTGTCCAGCTGGATTCCGGCTGCCTCTGGTGTACCTGCAGCACAAGGCACCATGGGATTCAATCCTCGCACTATTAATGTAGTGAGTTCCAATCACAGCCATCCCCTGGGCTGCTCCTGTGCACGGAGGGCTTTTAGGAAGTCGGCAGGGCAGAGAATGGCAAGTCCACTGAGCAGGTGAGCAAACTAAGACATGGAAAGTGAGTTGCCCAGCCCCCAGGGACCCCTGGCCACCCCTCCTGGACTTGCTGGTCCTGCAGCGTCATTGAGCTCCTCACACTGGCCAGAATGGAAATCCAGATCCTTCCCCCCCCTCAGCATTGCCCACCCCTGCTGTTTAAATTTTAAAAGAGAGTTGGTGGGAAAGGGGGAAGGAAGTCAGTAAGAAGGTCACTGCACCCGTTCTGCAGAAATTCCTACTTTGTAGGGTTGGACTTCTTTTGTAAGTGCTTAACTTTGGGGCGGTGGGCAGGGGTTGAATCTGGAGGTGCTTAACAACTGAGCCACATCCCCAACCTTTTAAATTATTTATTTATTTTTTAATTATTATGATTTTTATTTGTTCTACTTAGTTGTATGTGACAGCAGAATTTGTTTCAATTCATCATACACAAATGGAGTGCAAATTCTCTGGTTGTACACGGTGTAGAGATACACCATTTGTGCAGTCATACGTGTACCTGGGGTAATGGTGTCCATCTCATTCTGCCGTCTTTCCTACCCCCGTAATCCCTCCCCACCCTCCCTTTTGCCCAGTCCAAAGTTCCTCCATTCTGTTTTGAGACAGGGTCTCACAGAGTTGCTTAGGGACTCGCTAAGTTGCTGAGGCTGGCCTTGAATTGCTGATGCTCCCACCTCAGCCTCCTAGAGACTGGGAATACAGGCATGCACCACCATGCCCAGCGTAAGGGCTTAACTTTAGACAGTAAATTAGAGAAGTCCGCCTCGTGGGGAATAAGGAACACTCCAGCCCCAGGGAATAGTCCCTGAGCACTGGGGTCTTTGTGTTTTTCTTCTGGGATCTGCTTCTGCTCTTTTAACTTCAAGCTCATGTTCACTCGCAGCCCTTTTGGTCTTTTCCAAGTCCAGCAAGTTCTGGCAGAAGAGGCCTCAGTCCCCCCCTCCCCTGTGGCTTATCCTCTTGGTGCATCTAGAGGGGATGGGAGGGGGGTGGAGCTGCCAGCAACCTGCTGCCGTGTCCCTTAGCACGTGGTAAGATTTGTGTCTTCTTGGTTCATCCTCAGCCTACAGAAGTGGATCATTGACCTGGCCATGGTGAGTGTTGCCCTTTTGACGCACCCGAGGCCCATCCCACAGTGTGTAACTGTTGAGCACATGTAATAGTCAGAGGATGAAGGATTTACGGAGTTAGAGAATTCTTTCTGGGTTGATAATTGTGTATTGGCCACATACTCATTCTTTTTCTAGCTTTGCCCCACCCTAAACATTCTTTTTCCTCATTGAAAAAGGTCTGATTTTTTTCCTAACTGAGCTCAGAGCCAAAACTTCCCATGGGATTCTGAGAGTGGGTCAGGATGCCCTTGCCCACAGATCTTTCCAAGATGACAGAAGCGAATGTCGCTCCTCGATGCGAGAAGGGGAGCTCACTGGTGGTCACAGGCCACTGTCTGCCACGTGCAAACTCATGGATTTCACCCCCACCCCCCAACCTGTCCTTGACTTGGTGGCTGGGTGCAGCAGTGCTGCCTGGAGCCTGGCCACCCTGTGGTCCAGGGTGGTATTCTCTTGCCTGTCGACCTGGGAGTCTTCGCTGGGAACTCGGGTGCCTCCTGCAGCAGGTCCTCCTGCAGCAGGCCGCCGTGTTCTGGTCTCTGGGGCTGAGGAGGCTGCAGCAGCTGTGAGCCTTCACCCTTCGGAAGGTGGGAAGCTGGGGGTGCAGGCTCCGGAGAGTCAGGCCCGAAGGTCAAGGCCGCGGTCCTGGGTGCTCTTCTGTGCTCTCACCAGCCCTCGGTGAGATGACACTTCATGACCTCCATTTGCCCTTCCCCTCTGTGGTCCGTCCTTCAGGCCCGAGTACCTGCTCCATGGCAGCCCGAGGGCCTGGGGGCAGGGTAGTGGGTGTCCACATGTCATGGAGCTGCAGAGCAGCGGACGGCTTCCCTGGGAGACCTGAACCCCACTCTCACCCCCCGTTTATTCACAGAGGAGGGCGAGGCTCTTCAGAGTGCCCCGCAGCAGCTGGAGCTGCCCTGCTCCTCTCTATTCTGGTCCTAGTTTGGAGGGTCTTAGGGGCACCGTGCTGTCCTGGTAATATGTGTATTAAATTGGGACACTTCTCAGTTATGGTCCCCCCCACCAAAAAAGACCACTTCAAGATTCACAGATGCTTTTCTCCTGGAAAGATGAGCCCTGAAGAATCCGGAGGGCAGCAGGTCGGTCTCCTGGCTCCTCCCCAGGCTCCGTGTGGCCTCGGGCCCCGGGGCTGGCCTCAGATGCCAGTGTCCCTCTGCAGTCCTCCCTCCTCTGTCTGCCCAGCTCTCCAGATTGTCCGCCAGCCTCTTTCCTCACAGGTCCACTTGCTTGGGGCTAGTCTGGCCACCGTCTGCACCTGGCACCACCTGGGTGACCTCAGTGGCCTCCCTGCAGTGGACCCAGTGGCTGGACTTGCAGGTGCTGTAGACCTGGCCCTGGTGGGCCACAGGCTAATTTTTGAGGCTTTCTGACTTCACAGGTTGCAGAGGACCCAAGTACATCTCCATGTGGATTAGAGCAGCCAGGACTTCAGGGGGATGGGCTGCCACTGGCTGCTTGGAGTTTAGGCGTGATTTTTCTTTAAAAGCTCTGTATCTGGTGCTCCGATGGGTCTGACTTTCTTATGTTTCATCTGCAAACAGAACTTATGTACGTTCATCAGCGCGGCCAGTAAGTTCGCCCAGCTCCAGTATCTGTGGAAAGTGCAAGACTCGGGGGCTGTGAGCGCGCTGACCTGGGGCCTCGCTGCGTACACCTGTGCAAGTAAGGACGTGGGGTGGCCCCTGCCAGCATCCTGACTCTCCAGAAGTGGTGAACTTGGTTTCCAAACATCGTGGTCTCTTAGCCTTGATACTTTGCAAACAGCTATTCAGATAGAGCCTGCTAACTAAGAGTCCCCACATTTACAAGTGGATTCAATGTCCTCTGCTCACCATTTTCTGCATGATCCGTATTTTGTATTCTAGTGGCCAAAAAATAAATGGAGGTGAAAGTACACTTTCCTCCAAATATCTGGCCTCATGTTAATAGTCCTCTGAAAAGCACGGAGACTGATTATATTGAGACCACTGATATATTTTTAAACTTTGAATCTTAAACAATTTAATGAATTAAACAGATGAAAACCATGTTATCAGCTGGCAGTGGTGGTGCACACCCGTGGTCTCAGCAACTTGGGAGGCCAAGGCAGGAGGATCAGAGAAGGGCTGGGCGTGTGGCTCTGTGGTAGAGGGCTGCTGGGTTCAACTCCCAGTACCATAAAGGAAGGAAGGAAAGGGGGGGGGGAGAAAATCACACATTGTTTTTTGAGAATGAATATCACCAATTTGTACCAATGGAGATTTTCTGCCGTCATATCATTTGGTCTTCATTTTAGATTTTCCACTGTTCATTTGGACTCTTACAAGAACCACCCAGAGGGGCTGGGCCTGGGGCTCAGTGGTAGAGCACTTGCCTGGCATGTGTGAGGTCCTGGGTTCAATTCTCAGCACCACATATAAATAAATGAATAAAATAAAGGTCCATCAAGGACTAAATAAAAATTAAAAAAGAACTACTTAGAATACATAAACATATATGCTACATGTAAATAGATATATTTTTATAATTCAGAGATACCACAGTGGCTTTATAGGACTTTAGTTTTACTATTTTAAATATTTTAATTATAATTCATGGTTCATCTACAACTTATAGGACCAACTTCTCCATAGAAATTGCTGGTTTGAGGTTTTCAATGTCTAAAGTTACTTAAAATGACTTCTTAAGTTTTATTTTTAGCTTTCAAATGTTTAAGGGTTAATGTGTTTTACAGCTAAGATTTCTTCTGGAATTGCTAATTAGCTATATTACTTATTAGCTCCCAAATTTATCTTCAGACCTGTTGCTTATTAAATTTTTCTTTTAGAAAGTCCTGTAACTGCAGAGATGAGTCTATTATCGCAACCTCTCTCCCATGGCACTTTGTGCTTAATGAGGACTTAGGTGTTTGTTGAATAGGTGAAAAATGCACAGAGGACTATACATTTCTTTTCTTTGCAGTGCTGAGGATCAAACCCAGGGCCTCACTCAGCTAGGCAAGTGCTCTACCACTGAGCTACATCCCTAGGCCCTTAGGATTTCATGGGAAAAAGTAAACTGCTTTAAACCCAGTGTTCTTTTTGAGAGATGAGGCTAAGGACTTCCACACCGCTGTGGAAAGCATGGAGTCTGAATCTTTAGCATCCCTCCTAGTTCCTTCCCCCGGCTACTGTTTTTAGCCCTTGGAGCCAGTCACTGCCACATAGCACATCTTCTCTAGTCACCGTGCTGCCCAAGAGGTCTCTTGAACTTGTCACACTGAAATTTGGCCATCCATCTCTCCAGCTGCCCTCCTCCACCCCAGGTGCCTGGTCTCTGCCCTTCAGGCTTGTGGTTTAGCCGGAAGATGAGATCAAAAAGCTACATGTCAATATGCACTAAATGCAGAGCATGGTAGCAGAGGGCACGCGCCTCTGGAGGGTTGGTTTGGTGAGAATGTGTGCTTTGTGCTGCAGGAGGTGGGGTTCTTGATCCCATTTCACCCTGAGGTGCGATGGTTTAAATTGCTACCCCAGAATCCTGTTTATTATGTGAAAGCTTCTTCCAGAAAAATGAGCTAGAACTGAACAGTTCTGGTTAGACTCAGGCACCCTTACCCATTTCTGGCCCTCAGTTTCCTTACCTGTGAAATCCAAGGTAGATCTCAGTGATTTCAATGCACTGTTTTAAGTTGGTAGGAGCCTTTCTTTAATGAAACTACCAGGAAGCTCAATATGCAAATGAGACTTTTAAAGTTGCTTTTGAGGGTGGGGGTTGTAGGTTGGCACATAAACAGTGGAAGGAGAGCTCAGCCTCTTCCTCTTCCTCTTCTGTAGTTGGCTGAACTCAGCTACTTCCTAGAAACTGTCTGTGCTCTTAGGAGCAGTTTGTAAACCACTGTGCCAGGAAGCATGGCTGGTGTTTGGATGGTTCTGGAATGTAGTGCTAGTTAGTGATCTGACCTAACAAAACCTTCCAAGACTGGTTAGTATAAATTGGCATGTTAAAAGGGAACGACATTAGCTCAACACCCAAATGCCTGACAAGCAAGTTATTCATTGCTGCCAATTTTCTTTTACAGCAAGAATAATAACAACTTTAATGACCACCAATGATTTTACAAGTAAGCAAAAGTACTTTTCTTCCTGTTTGTGTTCTATTTGTGCCTCTTTGGAAACTGCCTTTCATAGATCTGCTTGGCTCTCGGGATATAGAGTCAGGATGGCAATAGCGTGTTCCTCATTGGTCACCATTTTTATTGCTAAGCGACTACTTGGAGTACCTGGGATAGACTAGGCACGAGGGTCGACTACTGCAGAATGAAAATGGGCAGTGCAGGAACCACACGCTTAGCTACTGGAATCTGTCGTCCCAGCTGCTTGGGAGGCTGAGGCAGGGGGATGGCTGGAGCCAGGCAGATCTGGACAATATGAAACCAGGTCTTTTTTTAAGAGTAGGAGTAGGGCAGGATGCGCACCTGATGGGAACCCGACCTCTGCGGGAGCTGAGGGGATTGAAGAAGATAGAGATCTTAACAGCAGAAGAGAGACTTGGTCAGAGAGGTAGAGAGACCCTTACAAGGCACAGCCCAGGTGAAGGCTGGGAGCAAAGAGGACTCAGGCCTAGAGAGGCCCCTGAGTCTGGCAGCACTGAGCAGGAGAGCGGGAGAAAATCGGAGGAGGAGGAGAGTGCGGGGCTGGGGCCAGGCCTTCCCAGCTGAAGAAGGGCCAAGGGAGAAGCCTCTGAAGCTCTGTAGAGCGCAGAGTGGCCTCCTCACCGGATGAGGAGAAAGCGGTGGAGGAGAAAGTGTTCTGGTTAGAGTTTAGTAGTTCCTCAGGCTAATGTTCAACTCCCAAGTCGAGCCTGGTATATATTATAAATCTTTGGAAAAAAATTAGAACACATGGTTGTATCTGTTCACCTATCCAATGAAAATTAGAAAACGTCCCCAGCACACAGACCCTTAAATAAGCTAACTATTTGAGACTTATTGCTTCAGAAAAGGGAAATGCATTTGATTGTCCTTTCCCAGAAGCTGTACCTTTGGCCCAGACTTTTTTTTTATCAGCTCTGGTTGTAGGATTAAAATTATTCTAATTAAGCCAGGCATGGTGGCATATGCCTGTAATCCCGGCCACTAGGGAGGCTGAGGCAGGAGGATTGTGAGTTTGAGGCCAGCCTTGGCAATTTAGCAAGATGGTGTCTCAAAATAAAAGAGCTTGGGATGTGACTTAGTGGTAAAGTGCCCCTGGGTTCAATTTAGTACTATTTAAAAAAAACAAAAACACTATTCTGATGAAAGGATCCAGTTAGATCAGGTGGGAGAGTGAGGATGGAGACAGGCCTGGGTCTCCCTCAGGACTTGAAGACTTCTTAGCAGGTCTGTTTTGGTTAGTTACCCTTTGACTCTCCCTGCTAAGAAGTCTTCTCATCTGAAACCAAGTCTCAAAGACCAAGAATAACGCTTCTTGCTTGTGGTTGCTGTTCCTGAAAATGACCAGAGTGTTTGGTGGCTGTTTTAAATAGTGTGGCTTACCTGTTTTACCATCACAAAGGTATTTTACACCCCATCAACCGTATTTATCAGGAGTGGCATTGCCTTAAAGGCACTGTAACAGCGACCTATTTATGTCACAGAATCATGGTTTTATGGTGACTTCATTATAAAATATGCTTCGATATCTGGCCCGTCTTCAGAATTAACCTTAATGGAATGCATTAGGCTACAGAGAACTCAGAACCATCTGAGACAGCAGCGCTATGTGAAATGAGGAAAGGGATTTAAAAAGTTGTACTTCTCAGCCAGAGCCAGACCTCGCTCAAGCATGAAAGGTGATTAGGGGTTGGCGTGAGGTCAGATGGGTGGCTGCAGGCAGACATCATGACAGGAAGCTCATTTCCCGGCGAGTCTGATCCACAGTTGGATTTCATTCTGGGTTGGGGGTGAAACTTGATGTGGCTGCTGCTAGAGCAGGAAGTGGTTTTCCTCCCTGATGTGACAAGCTCTTAATACCCACACTCTCCTTCTTTCTGTTTTTTTAGTTCTTATTCGTTTTGTGATCATGCTGGCTTTAAACATATGGGTAACAGCTACAGTACTTCGCTACCGGAAGCCTGTCATAAAGGCTGAATGACGGACCTTACTGCTACACAAAAAGTGGGTTTTGAGTAACTGAAGCAAAGGAAAAAACAGCTCATTGCTACGTGAAGCAATCATTTCAGGAAACTTTGAAGTCAGAGGTATTTAGGACTTCAAAGAGTACTTAGTTTATTTTAAAAAATGCCAATTTTGCTGGGTATGGTGGCATATGCCTGTAATTGCAGATACTCAGAAGGCTGAGGTAGGAGGGTGACAGGTTTCAGGTCAGCCTGGGTAACTTGGGGAGACCGTGTTTCACAATAAAATAAGGGCTGGTGTGTTTCTGTAGTAGAGCGCTTGCTTTGCATATGTGAGGCCCAGGGATCAATATCCAGGACCAGGGAGAAACGTCTTAGAAGGCAGGTTTCCCTCGTCTCCCCACTCCTGAGGCCACAGCCAGCTGACAGCTCATCTTTGATATCTGCAGTGACCCACAGAAGATGCTCAAGCAGCCTACGAGCCCTCGTTCTTCAAGTCATGATTAAGTACTTTCTGAAAAGCCAACTACATCTATCTTTCAGGTTTCAAAATCTTTTAAGTAATAACTTCTTTCCACAACTAAAATGAACACGGAATGAGATTCTGCTCAGTTGGGAAGTGAAACTGCAATATATCAGCAGGGCTCGCTCTGGGCCTGCTTGATTGTAACACAAATAAAACACCGCGGCCTGGCTTGATGCCACACACCTGCCCGGCTAAGCACCTCCTGGAAAGGCTGGTGTTCTGTGCTCAGTGTCCTTGGCTTCACCCTGTGCCTGCCTTTGAATATTTCTATAAAAAGGTACTAATAGTTGTAATCTCCACTGAGGATGAGGAAGTGTATCCCAGGGAATTCCCAGTTTAAGCATAGTGCTACCATTTAAAAAGGGCTACACCTGTATCATTACTGGGTTTCGGTATAAGACACCACTTTTTAGCTATTGAAAATACAGTAGTAAAGAGCAGTGCTAGGTTCTGTCTAAAGCTTATGGATTTTATTCTTATAGTATCTTGTCCTAAACATGTTAACAGTATTCCCTAACATTTCAAAACTCAAATCCCCCTTCTACGTGAATGGTATTATTCTGTTATATGCAGTAAGTAAGCAATGTTTACTAGTATACGTTTACTTTCCTGTGAACCTGTGTATAATAAATTTTCATATTTTGGACTCTGATTGGTTGATGCTGGGGACTGAAAGTAGGGTCACATACATGCTAGGCAAGCACTCTACCACTGAGCTTTAATGTATTTTTTGAAATTATTTAATTTTTCAATAAACTGATTACTTATTTCAGAACTACCGCTTGGGACCATGAGGAAGAAAAGTATCGTATTGAAAACCCCAAAGACTCAAAAGGCAGAGACAGGAGGGTCCAAGCTGGAGGCCTGTCTGAGAAAGATAGTGGGACTGTGACTCAAAAGAAAAAACTGCTGGGGGTAGCTCAATGGTAGTGTCCCTAGGTTCAATCCCAGTAGCAGAAACTAAAATTAAAAAAATCATTCAGAAACTAAAATTTAAAAAAAAAAATCATTCTCATGTAGCTGTTTTGATCATAGATGGCCTTTAAAAAAATCCAAGTTGATATTTCCTCATATACACTTATAACCTACTAGTGCAAATGTGATTTCTTTTTTATTCCAATGAAGATTTTGATATACTTTATCACTGCTTAAAATAACTCCCTTAAGAACATATCTAAGAAGAGTTCTCCGATTTTTCCTCTTTGGGAAGGAACATTTTAATTATTCCAGACACATATTTAATCCTTCATTTAACAGATAAAAACATTGAGGTGAGTGCAGCTGTGGTCTAGACCACGCCCAGCCCATGCTTTATACCCAGGGTTTTAGGGAAGACTAATTTTTAGGTAAGCTTTAGAAAGCTGTAGCATTCCAGGACTATTTCACAGGCAAAGTATGAAAATGCTTACATCTTCATTTCTTTTATTTATTTTTTTATAAAAAGCAGGCATAAAATACAATTACATTTCTACAAAGATGCAATAAAATTAAAAAAAAAATCAAGGGGGCACGATTTTTGTTCATGGGGACAGTTGATCAGCTATTTATGATTATCTAAACCATGCAGTTCATAACTTATTACAATCCCAAACATAAGTCATCACGGGGAAGGGAATCAGGCGAGGCCCCAGCCGTGACACCCGCACTGTCATACAGTGCTCTTCAAAGTGCTTTAGGGCCCAGGCACCTTCACAAGCTAGGGGGGCTGAAGCCTCCGCCAGGCGAGGGAGCGAGTCAGTAGCAGTGTCACCGTGGACTGAGAGGCTCAGTGGTGTGCTGAGGGGTTTTAGACACCTACTCAGAGCCTTCTCAGTAAGGTGAGTGTAGTGTCTGAGTGTCTGCTCTACCCTCAGAACCCTATGAGAAGGACGAGCAGCAGCAGCAGGACTTGTGAAACGGCACATGGTGGCCTAGGGCTTCCAGGGAAGGATCCATGTATTGACTGAGGCCCAGCAGCCCCGCAGAGGCGCGTCCTGGACCCCAGCACTGCTGCAGTTCCAAAAGCGCTCACTGGTTACACATGCCCATCAGGTGCTACCCATTAGTCAGCTACAGCATTTTAAACTTTCAGATTTTTTAAAAAAAATCTTGCTTCTAGATAGGTCTTAAAAAATTAATACTTAAAAAAATTCATTATAGATTAATCTTCAACAGTAATACCGGCACTAGTTTTACTTCTGTCTCGCTATCCCCACAAAAGTAAAAAAAATTAAACTAAGAAAATCCCAGTATTCACTCTTTCTTAGTTCCCATAGGAGGTATTTGTGGCTCTAGGAGAAATCAGGTGTGAAGAAATAAACAGAATTTGGTCTTATAAATATCTTAGAAATTCTGGAACCTCAAGAAAAAGAAACTGGCACAAAATCAGGTTGTTTCATATTTACCAAGTGTTGGGAAGAAAATGTGGACAGATGTGTACATGAAGGTGGCAACTGGGGAAAAAGCAAATTCTCACCCAAGGTCAGAATTTTTTATTAAGCACATTTCCATTAGTTGGACAAACAACCTTATAAATCTTTTTATCAAACCATATAATGTGAAGAATCTCCATGGGAGAGATTTTTTTTCTCACCCCTCAGAAAATCTTTTCCCCTAAATACTTCACATTAATTTTTCTTGTACAGTTGTATCACACCATGATTCTCCCTGTTCATATATATATACATATGCATATATGTATATACATATACACGTACAGCATTCAAAATTCAAACTTTTGCTTTTTACTCAGATACTTCAATTACTCATGTAAACTTGAAATTATTTCACCTTAATAAAGTTTATTAAAAATATATATATATACTCTCCAATTCAGAATAATAGGATAGAACCTCCCATAGTGTAACAAAATCTTTATATAAAATATTAATTCAGTCTCCTTTTAACAACTCTAATGAATGGAAATATTTCTTCTATATAAATTTTATATATTTTTCATTTTAATCTTTAAAAAAAAAAAAAAAGCAAGCTGTGTCCCAGCCAGCACTGCAGGATGCACCTGCGAGGGAAGTGGCAGCACGTCGAGTGTTAGCACAGAAGCAGGGAAGAGCGCAGAGCCAACAGCGTGAGAAGAGCAGAATTCAGCTCAGAATATCAGTAGGCCAAAGTGCACTCTGTAACTCCCACAAAAGTATCTATAATGGGGACTCAACTCTTCAAACATCTCTGCATTAACCCCAGAGGGAAGCAATGAGAAATGTCTACTTCCTTCATTGAAATACTGGGTGATACATTTCGATCATACCAAACTGTGTGTGTGTACACAGGAGAGCCTGATAAAAGACTGATTTTTAAAAAAACTTGATGCCTACCATTGCTGCATACTGTTGCAGTACAAAACATACTTATCTGGGATAATGAGAAACACAGCAGGAATGGTCCTGCATAAATTTTAGTCTTGAGAACATTTTAAAAATAAAAATTTAATCGGGTGCCTTTGAGGCTGCTTCCCCCCAGTCAGTGATTTTCTTAACCCAATACTGAGATACCACCGGACCCAGTTGTGTGTTTGAGGATCACATTTAAATATTTAAAATATATCTACAGTATATCCTAGTTTTCTTTATATTTGAGACAATTTTTAAATCTTGAGTGTGAAAATGTAAAAATAGTCACAAATGTCTTTACCAGAAATAAAAACACATCTAAGGTGGCCAGTAAGTTCAAAGCAAAGAGAACATTCTGTAGTCACAAACTAATACTGAGGTCTGTAGAAAGGGATAGATGAATAAAGATATACAACAAAGATATATTAGTTCCAATACTAGCCATTATTGTTTCTAAGACCAATACATTAAAAAATTGTTATACAATCAAAATAGGCTGACATTGATAGAACTATTATGTGTAAAAATAGTGCACTTTTTTTTTTTTTTTTTTTTTTTACCCTAAGCAACTTTGCATCCTAAGAGCTGGTAAACACTTGTTCTTTTTTTCTTAAATACAGAAGGGATGAGACTTTGAAAAAAAATTAAATTAAGGCATTCAAAATGGGTAAGGTTGTCTATCATGAAGCATTAGGAAACTGATATAATTAACTTCAAACTTCTTATTACAGCAACTGTTTAAACATGAACATGCAGCTTCCATTAGGTGCAGGGGAAAGTGAATCAACTCCACATTATGGCTTTATACAAGTGCATAGTTGCAACTGAAATAATGATATCTGATTAATGTGTATAAAAAAATAAAATGGGGAGTTAAAAAAAACCCTCTTGCAGTATTACAGTACTATATGTGTGTGTGCACATACATACACACACAGTATCATGGTCACATCTTAAAGATGCAGTCAATATCACTGTAGTGGAATCCATTCCCAGGTTCTTCTGGCAAATGTGCTGGTGAAATCTCTCTATCAAAGCTGAAAAGATGATTTCTTCAATGTTTAACTCTTCTCAATTCTTCTGTGCAATGTAGTGTGAGTGACTGCCAAGAGAGCTTTATGAAACAAGTTTGGGAGAGTTGCAGATGATATCCTTATTCTATTAACCAACTGCTGTTGGTTCAACTTGTTTGAAAGAAGCTCGGAAAACCTCTCCAAGACTTGTCATTGATATTACAGGAAAAAGGAAACACATATATGTATGTGTATACATCAGTCTCTCTGGAAAATATAGGTTTTTAATAAATTTTAGGTCATCATATTTCAGTCTTATTTTAACTGGAAGAATATGATCACCTTGAATGACTGCTTTCATAGAAGGCAGTTAGCTGGAAAGAAAGGAAAGATAAAAGTTAGTTGATAGTAAAATAATTTAAGAGACTGTTAAGTTCCTTGAAAAGGCATTTCAATTCATACTTTTAAATTATACTGTCTTCCAAGTGCTATATTTTTAACACCTAAAATCATGCATAAGCATAGTAACTGTATTACTTTTCTTATTTTTTTAGGTACATGCAATTATATTGCTTTTCAATACAACAATGGACTTTGGAAGTCCCATAGTGGTTACAAACATTACACACAGTTTTAATGCAGTTAACAAGATATTAGGGTTAAACAATATGCCACTAATAACACATCTGAATTGAAGTCTGATGTGAGGTTTAACTGCTAGCTGCCTCATGTATTTGAAAGAGCAGTGGTCTTAAGGGCCAAGTTCTACTTGGCTGTTTGGCCCTAAGCCACATTTTTCTTATTTATGAAACAGGAACAAACACAATGTTGTAGTAAAGATGCTCCATAAAACCTGCATATAAACATCCCAATATCACATTTTGCAACATGCTGACTTAGTGTAAGACAGGTATTCTTCCTCTAAACGCGGTCTACGTAAAAGATCGAGGTCATGAGGCTCAGCTTTCATTCCATTTTTTTTTTAATCACTATTAACCACACTATTTGATGTCTTCTAAAAGCACAGGAATTTTCACAGCATATCATTAGCATTCTTCAGCAAGAGTAACACTGAGTTCTTGCAACATCTCATCACATCACAAAGAAAGCCAAATCAGAAATAGCAATTTCACAGCACTTAGCAAACTTAGAAAGTTTTTATGGTTTGAATTCTTGCAAACTAGAGAAGGAAAGAGGGAGGAGAAAGGGATGGAGGAGGAAAGTAATCCCATGCTATGTTCACAAACTAGTGCAGCTGTAGGAGCTTCAGAACACTGTAATTTTACTTCTCTGAACACGGCTTCTTTGGAATG